TTTGCTTATCCTTTAGATTTTAATGTATTATTTTAAGCTAATTTATTTATTAACATTAAAAATACATTTTAAAGTGTGACAATTTATACTAATAAATCATTTTAAAAAGTGGCAAAAGATGATTTTCTAATTTGTTGCCACTGCATCAATTTAAAAAAAAAATTGTTGCTATTGTTTACCTCGATCATCTCATAAATATCCATAATTTTTATTAGAGGGGTCTAATCAACACATAAACTGAAAAAAAAAATGACAATCATAAACAAAATATGTACAAAAATAAATGATAAAAACATTATGATAATGATTAAGACATAATAAATTTACATTTTCAAAAAATCACAAAACTCTGGAAATCCTGATTAAAAAGGAACTGTGTATCAAGAGTTACATATCTTGACATAACTGGCTAATCAAAAACACATTCATTACTTGTCCTTATTCAAACACTTTCAAATATAAAGAAAAATTAAAACACTTGTGTTTAGATTAACTCTGCATATCATTCTTAACTCTACACAATTGCATAAGAACAACCATAGGATTTGCAAGGCCAAAAAAAAAAAAAAGGTTTCAACTCTTGGCCTTGGTATATGTTGATCCCACACTGTAGCTTTCAATTGATTGTCCCTATAAACAAATAAACTACGGAGTATTTAATAAAAAATACATATACAAAATACAATAAAAATAACAAAATTAGATAATTTACTTTGTATCCACGTACAATTAGAAAATCAATAAGTTAAGAAGGCTTCCTGCAATGATTTTATCCAATGGGGAGTATATCTCAACGACCCTACCAATAACGTCAAACATGTTAATAAAAAAAAAAATTCAGATATAGATTAAAATTGTAAATGAAACTTACCAACGAATTGTTTATCATCTACAGACTTCAAAGATGAAAATGATTTAAATAAATAAATTTGTCTAGAAAAGTTGTCATTTTTTTTTATATTATTTAACCAAAGTAGCATAGTGAAATTACAACATAAAATAATGAGTGCATTTTGTGAAAATATAGAAATTACTTATCACCATAAAATTTTTAATGGCATAAACTTTTCATTGTTTGAAAAGCTTACAGTACTTACCAACATGTTCCCTTGGTATATGAGCATGAAGTTCCCTACAATGAAGTAAAAAAGAAAATTGTTACTCCGTATTTTGTAATTTATTTTTGCAGTATAGGAAGCAGCTTTGTAATGCATCTTTTTCCCAATTTCATATACAACACGAGTTATAGAAAAAAAGCAAAATCGAAAAAAATACCATTTGATAGGAAAATATGCACTCTCTAGATTTTATGAAATCACTCCATTTTCTCTATGGGACTTCATATAGGTGCACACCAATCACCATCTAATAGCTCTGAAAGTCTTCAATAGAGAAATATCCTAGGCAAGAATAAACATTGGAGTCGTATAAAAAAGCAAAATTGAAAAAAAAAAATATCTCTTGATCGTGAAACATGCACTCTCTAGATTTTATGGATTCACTCCGCTTTCTCTATGTGACTTCATATAGGTGCGCACCAATTGCAGTCTAATAGCTCTGCAAGTCTTCAATGGAGAAATATCCTGGGCAAGAATAAACATCGAAGCCGTAATAGTTGTATGTTAGTATACATATCTATATCTCTATATATAATTACTCAATATAAAAGAATGAATAAATGAATATAAGGAAAAAATATTACCAATTAATAGATTTACCAATTAGGTTAATACGTGAATATGGAAACAATATTATCAATTAATAAATTTTAATTAATTTCTATTTTACATTTGGTTACCAAATAAGTTTTACTACAAAAGTTTGGGCGGGAAAATGAAATAGGAGGATTTTACTTTTATATCTAAAAACATAATAAGCCTCAATGAAAGTTATATCCTTGATTTATGTCCCTCTTTTTGTATGCAAATAAATGTGTACATTTTACTTGAAATGTTGTACATTCCAATGTTATTAGACAAAACTATCCTTACACCGTTATAACACCGTTAGTTTTTAGTTCTAACTTTAATAACACATCATTATTACCATACACCTATATCTATCATATCTTTTTCATATTTTTAATTATCATTTTATTAAAATCATTATATATTAATTTAATACTTAATTATATTTTAATTAAATTTCTCTGAATGATAAATTATATATGTGTGTGTACAAAATACATATATTATTTGTATATATATCATTCAATTTATAATTTATTATTTGAATTTATCAATGTTTTAATATTGGGCATGAATTTTCACGCATCGCGCGTACACAATACTAGTATATATATATAGATAGATATATAGATGTTTATAAATTTTGTAGCATTCTTTTTACATATTAACCCATTATACTCTCTAAATTACAAATTTGATTTTATTAGAAGAAATAATATTTTAAATTTACAAAAATAATCTTTATATTTATTAGCCAAAATTAACATTTTTATCAACTCAACCATTCAAAGACTAAATATATTAATCTAAGTTCTTCAGTTCTTGTAGTCTTTTTTTTTTTTTTTTTTTTTTTCTTGTATTAAAAAAAAAGGTCTGTTTTTTATCTGAAAAGGCATTGGTGATTGGTGAAGAGATATGGTATCTGGCAAGTCGCACCGCCATAAGTGTTGGACACGTGTATGCCCTGGATTCTGCGGACCCGCTACGTGGTCACATACTTCAATTTGGAGAATAAAGACCTACTGGCAAAGCCAACAAATGAGTTGACTGCGGCTCATCATTTCATGTGTTGCAAATATTTATTTTTAATAATTTTATTATATTGCGAAATAATTAATTTCTACTGTAATTTGCATATGACATTCTAGAATATTAGAGCCAAATTTTGAGGATAGCAAGATTTAATATATCTTCCGTAATTCCTACTCCGATAAAGAAATCTTGCTTTCCTATTCTTATTCAATCAATGTATGTACGCAATATATGAATGGCAACGAGACTGAGAATATGCATAGGCATATCCCTCATTCCCCATTTTCTGAGGATATCCTCATCCTCAACCCACCCAAGCATATACAAGATAGATGCTAACAATAGATATGACAATTACAGAGCGTTTCGTTGAATGTACCCCAGAAAATACAATTCAATTACGCCCTTAAACTTTTAGAAGTTACAATTAAAGTTACAAACATGTTATTCTGAAATATTTAAACCTAAAAATCTATTGGTGACATGTAGTTGCATGTCAACTAGGGTTCCAGTCATCTCCGACAAGCGTCTGACCATTTTTCGGCAAGTCGTGTCAAATACCAACGACCACGGTCGCCTTCTCCAAATTCGACCATCGTCGGTTGCTGGTATTTGACATGAATTGCGAGAGGTTGGTCAGAACTCTAGTTGACCTGTAATTACAGGTCACCATAAGATTGTTGGACTTCAATGCTCCAAAATAATATGTTTGTGAATTTAATTGCAACTTTTAAAAGTTTAAAAACCTAATTAACTTTTTAAGTAAAGTTTAAGAGACTATTTTCTCAAATTTATAAATATAAACTTTTTTTTAAAAAAAAAAAACACTTGTTTTTTTTTTTTTTTTTTTTTTTTTTTTTTTATGAAAACTGTCATATCCCAACTTGCTATCAAATGAAGGCATGCAGCCACCTTCATCAACGTAACCTTTGGGACGAAGGTCAGTCGCGCGCCTTTGGGAGGAAGGCAACCAGTTCAATGGTCCAAATCTCAACCTTAATGACATCAATGACTATCAAGTTTTTTTTTTTTTTTTTTTTTTTTTTTTTTTTTTTTTAACAATTGTGGGTGTCTAGCATGGGAAACAACTATCAATGGCCGTCTTCCAAAATAAATAAATAAATAAAAGACTCCGTAATAATTGTGTAAATTTATATTTATAAATTTTATGTAAATTTAAATTAACTGTTTTATTGATAAAGGACAAAAAATATCATGCCACAATAATATTAAGATTAAAAGTAGATGTTCTAATTAAAAAAAAAAAAAAACTTAAAGTGAATTATAACCTATAAATGTATGACCAAAAATGGAATTAACTCTTTAAATGATATAATATAACTTTCTGTAATGTAAATATTAAAATATTTTATTCTTATTTTCTTATAAAATGTGAGATTTGAAAAAAAAATTATTTCATTTTTGTTACAATTAAAAATATATTGTATTAAACTTTTAAATTACCTATAATTTTAAAATATCTTGCTATTAAGAGGAGATTTATCAGGAATAGTGACCGAGTAATTTTTCTTTAAAAAAATCTTTTTTTTTTTTTTTTTTTTTTGTGAGGAAGAGAACTTTCAGTTACTGTTTAAAGGTATGTATTGTGTAAATTTCTTGTGACTTTAATTGTAAAGGACCACAAGAGTAAATCAACATATATTCTGTATTCTGATTACAAAATCTTCTTCTTCTATTACTAGTTCCCTTCCTAATGAAACTACTCAAAGGATGAATTGAGTGCCATCCCCAATCAATACTAGTTCTTCTTATCTTTTTTTAAAAAAAAAAAATAAAAAAAAATTCCTTAGATCCTATACCGGGAGTGAGCTAACCATTTCGCACAACATTCTCAAAGAAGTAAGGGAAACTCTAGTTCTTACGTTAGAAAAGAAAAGTTTCCTTTACTTTGACTTTGAAAGGTGCAAAGCATTAATTTCATAAGAGAAAAGAAAGAACAAGTAACGGCTCCTCGTCAACAAACAACATAAAAAAAAAAATTCAATACCAACAATAGATTTTGGTAATTGTATATAACTGATCGATTCAATTTAAGAAAGTCAATTGACAGCTTCCGCTAGCCTAATATTTAAAAAAAAATGTTGTTTCTTAAAAACAATGCCAGGTTACTTTAAAAACATTCGTTGATAATAGCGTACTGGCGTGTCAAACTTTGATGACTCTTGTCGGGCTTACGCGACAACTTAATTCGCATAATAAATTTACAGCTTATAAGGAAGGTCATCACTTAGCATACGCAAAAGAAGAAAAGAAAGAATTTCAAAAAAAAAAAAAAAAAAAAAAAAGAAGCCAAGAAGGTATCATATCTCTGTCTCCTCCGCTTTCAAAGCACTCAAAATCCCAGTCTGAACACTCAGTTCAATACTTACCAAACCCCATAGATCATTTCTTCGCCTTCGCCGCATTCCAATACTCTCCATTAAAATATTCATTTCTATTTATTTACTCCATTAAAGTTTTAATTTTTATTTGGAAAATCAGATAAAGATAATCACTTCATTTCTGTACTTTCTACTTTAATGGAAAAGCTAAGAAGATCCTTCAAAGCTCTTTCTCCGGATCACCCTCCCAGACAGGAAGACGAGCGCAGAGTTCTGTTGAACCAGATCGAAGCTCAGGAAGATCCCATTTCGGCCATGGCCATGGCTACGCCGCTCTCGTCTTCTTCCACGCCGTCGAGGTCTTCTCCTTCTCCTTCTCCCTCCCCGGCCGCCGTCGATTCCAGCGACTTCGCCGGTAAGATCAATGGCAGAGATGCGGCGGTTAAAGAAACCGAGCTGCTTCCATCGTCTTCCGCGTTTGGGAAAAGCGGCGCTGGAAATGCACAGGAGATAGTGAACAAAGTCTGGAGAGATTCTAGCTACGATTTCTCCAACGATACGGCGGCGAGAGCTAAGACCGGTAACAGTAATAAAGGTGGTTTCGACTTTATAACTGAGTCGCCGCTGTCGAGGGTGGCGGAGAGTCCCAATTTGGGTCAGATTTCGCCCAAGGAAGTCAGGGTGTCGTTCAATGAACACTTGAACGAGCCGGTTCGCCGCCGGTCCAATGCCGCTGCGGCGGCGGCGGAGGAGGAGGTGGTCGTGTGCAGCTCCACCTCTTCGTTCCGGCGAAAGTCCGGTCTTTTGTCGACGAGGATGAAGTCGAGGCTATTGGACCCGCGCGAGGAGCAAAATGACCAAAGGTCTCAGAAGGTAACAATGAAATCTGGGATTTTAGGTAAAGCTAGTGAAATTGATGAAGATGACCCTTTCTTGGACGAGGATTTCCCAGACGAGTATAAGAAGATTAAGTTTAGCCCACTTTCTATTCTGCAGTTATTGAGTTTGGTTTTGATAATTGCTCTCTTGATTTGTACTCTCACAATTGGTTTGTTAAGGAGAAAGGCTGTTTTTGAGCTGGAGTTATGGAAATGGGAGTTAATGGTTTTGGTCCTAATTTGTGGAAGAATGGTGTCTGGGTGGGGGATAAGGCTAGTTGTGTTCTTCATTGAGAGAAATTTCCTATTGCGAAAACGGGTTTTATACTTCGTCTATGGATTGAGAAATTCAGTGCAGAATTGTATCTGGTTGAGCTTAGTCTTGATTGCTTGGCAGTGTATATTCGATAAGAGAGTCGAGAGGGCAACGAATGGGAAAGTATTACCTTATGTGACTCGAATTTGGGTGTGTCTCTTAGTAGGAACATTCATATGGCTCCTAAAGACACTACTTGTTAAGGTACTCGCAATGTCGTTCCACGTTACAGCCTTTTTCGATCGAATTCAGGAGTCGTTGTTCAACCAATACGTGATCGAGACTCTATCTGGCCCTCCCTTGATCGAGATTCAGCTCGAGCAAGAAGAGGAGGAGAAGATGATGGCCGAGGTTCAAAAGCTTCAGAGTGCCGGGGCTACATTGCCCCCTGACCTTAAGGCAACCGTGTTCCCGAAGAGTGGAAGGCTTATTGGAACCCCCCGAAAGAGTCCAACTTCTGCTACTGCAAGGAGCTCCACTCCCGCCTTTTCGAGGGTCATGTCTAAGAGGGAAAAGGACAAGGACGAGGAAGGAGGGATCAGTATTGACCATTTGCATAGGCTCAATCAAAAGAACATATCTGCTTGGAATATGAAGAGGCTGATGAATATTGTTCGAAAGGGCGTGCTGTCGACTCTGGACGAGCAGCTTCAAGAGTCTACGGGTGAAGATGAGTCTGCAGTTCAAATCACAAGTGAGAAACAAGCAAAAATTGCAGCCAAAAAGATTTTCAACAATGTTGCTAAGTCTGGCTCCAAGTAAGCATTTATATTGAGATTTATTATAGTTCATCTCGGTTGCATACAATAGCTTGCCAATATCACATTACCAGATAATATATTTTTTAGTATGGAAGCAGGGGTGGATACAGAAATCTTCGTCAGTGAGGATGAAAGATTAAAAACTAATGAGATATTTTGAAAAAAATTACTTAGCTATGTTTGGCAAACCTAACTGAAAAGGTAGCTGACTTAAAAGGAGCCGAAAGCTGAAAAGTTATAAGTTAGGAGCTGAAAACGGAAGAGCGGTCAAACTAACTGTTATATTTCAAAGTGTTTGGTAAAATTAGTTTTTTTATAAGTTATAAATGTCAAAAGACAAAAAATGATATTTTCATAAAATTTAAATTAATTTATTTACATATTAAAATTTAATATTTTGTCTTAAAAAAATTTTACATTTTGAAATAAAATTATTAGCATAATCATGATCTAACTTCCCATAATGAAGTAACAATATTGTTGTCAATCTCCTTCATCTAATAATAATAATAATAATAATAATAATAATAATAATAATAATAATAATAATAATAATAATAATAATAATAATAATTGTGGTGAAAGTTGCAGATAAAGAAGAAGAAAAAAAAATTTTAATTGATAAAGGTAAATGATGTTATTTCTTTAAAATAATAAAGACAAAGATGAAAAAAAAAAAAAAATTAGGAAGTTACTAACTTATTTTGTAAGTAGCATTCTAAAATAAGCTCTTATTTTAAACTACGAGCTTATTTCAAGAACATTACCAAACAGATCTTATAGCTTATTAGTAGCTTAAAATAAGTTATAAGTTCCTAAATAAGCTCGGTCAAACAGACCCTTAAGGTCGAGTTATAAATATTGTTAATTAGGATAAAAAATTAAAATACACCAAAATGAGATTAAAAAAATATTCAAAACAAAATATGAAATATAATTAATTAGATAAAATAATTTGAATAGAAAACATATTATAAAACACTCATATCAATATTAATATTAAAAAGCGAGGAAAAACATAATATTACAAATAAAAATTCCACAAAATATGAAATATAATTAATTAGATAAAATAGTTCGAATAGAGAACATATTATAAATCACTAATATATATCACTATTAATATTAAATAATGCGATTTAAAAAACACAATGTTATAAATAAAAAATTCAATTCGAATTAATCTCAATATAAATTCATGCTTGTAGGATTTGAACCATAACATATAGAGAAAAATAAAATACCTCCCCATCTAAGCTAACACATCCTCTAGTAACATTTATGTAAATTTAATATGTATAAGTTAACTATGTATATACAAGGGGCGGGTCGTCTTCCACCTTAGGACCGAGTCCACCATATAGAACGGGGGTAGGCGGCCCAAGTACAAAAAACAAAGCCCAGAGGGTGTGCTATTACTAACTATGCTACTAGTAGGAATCAAACCCAAGTATGAGGGTTGAGAGTATGAGATCAAGACCACTGAACAGTAGTACTTGTCTTGTGTGTTGCACTTGCCAAGAATCCAGGGCCCCTATTTATAGCCTGCCCCCTTCCCTCTCCTGACACCCACGTGTCCCACATACTCAGACACCACTCCCCTCTTTTTCGCACACTAGTCCGCACGTTCACCACACCTCCGACACCCCCGCAACTTCTCCCGCGCACTCCACGCACCCCGGGCGGACCAACCCCCAGCGCCGGTGACCGCACGCCGCCGCACCCCCCGCGATGGGGCGCTAGGCCCGCGCACCGGGCGCGCCATCGCCCAGCCGGCGGCCTCCTCCGGCTATCGGCGCCGGCCGGCTATCGCCCCCGTGCGAGCTCGCGCACTAGGCGCGTTGGGCGCGCCATCGCCCCAATCGACGATCCCTTCTGACCACCAGCGTCGGCCATCCCCCCGTTCCGTCGTAATCGTGCCCCCGTCCATACCCCCTGGACCCGTCCGGCCCAACAACGTCAGCCCAATAAGTCCTCAACCCATACCCAATATCCCCATCAATATGTATGTACTACATCCGTCTCATTTTATGGATTTGGTTCGGTTAACGAGGCTTGAATGAAGTTATTTTTAATTCAATTTTTCATAATATTAATTTTAGTACTAGTATACAAAGTTTATATATTTAGAAACTACACTAAAAGTATTATTAAACACAAAAAAATAAAATTCAAAATTAACTTAAAAATACTAAAGAAAATAAACAAAGAATAAAGATTTAGCTTGACCCATGAATAGTAAGTAGGACCGATAAAATGGCACATAGGGAGTATTAAATATTATATAAAATCTATATTTATGTGAAAATTACTAATAGATTGAGTAGCTTAGTTGGTTAAACTCCAAATTTAATGTTAAATAAATAAAGCTTATGTCATAAGTTCAAATCTTGACTCTATTACATTGTAATATGTGTTCAACCTAATGAAGCACACAGAGTAAATAAAGTTCAAATCTCGACTCTATTACATTGTAGTATCTGTTCGACCTAAAGCTTATGTCATAAGTTCTCGACTCTATTACATTGAAGCACACACAGAGTTAAGCTTATGTCATAAGTTCTCGACTCTATTACATTGAAGCACACAGAGTTATTAACAACGCCTCCACAGAGAGGTCACTACATGCCATATTTTCACTCCAAACCTTATGGTTGTTTGATATTTTGTCCTTACATTTCTAACGTAATATAATCTTCGCCACCACTCAAATGATTTTCTAGATTCATCTCTGTATACATACAATATATATAAATGGGATGGGGTGGGGAGTGAGGCAGCTGCTCCCCCTGGAGCCAGTATGGGAGTAGGTTGGGGAAAATGGATTTGGGGAGGCAATCCATTGAATGAAAATGGTAAGCTATGTAATGTGGAGAGGTCGGTGTTCCAAAAATGCCTTTAACTGCTGCATATGTAAATAAGTTCTGATTTTACTAAATTAGACCACGATTCATCCCAAGAAATCAACATACTTCATAGTATTGTCGGGTCCCGTTCTTAAAAGTTTTTCTTTTGTCATAGTATAAAGTTCTATTTGAATTGTTTAGGTTCATTTATATAGAGGATTTGATGCGCTTTATGAGGGAGGATGAAGCATCAAAAACCATGCATCTTTTTGAAGGAGGAACCGAGGCCAAAGGAATTAGCAAGCGGGTTCTAAAAAATTGGGTGGTATTGTGTTCTTTCCCTCGTCATATTATGAACTCGTTTCCCTTGCATACTGCTCTTTACGGAATTGTTGTATTTAGGGTGCGTTTGAAAATTCGTAAAATGACTTCTGGAAAATGTTTTCTGAGTTTTCAGTGTTTGGCAAGAGGGTGGAAAATGAGGTCAACGGAAAATAACGTTGTAGTCAATGGAAAATAAGTATGTTAATTGGGGGAAAATGACTTCTCCTTTTTTGGGGAAGTCATTTTTCAATTCTCATGCTTGGTATGTATAGTATATAGTTTGTGTGTGTATAGTATGTAGTTTGTGTGTGTGATATAAGTACACTATACTGTGTATATATATATATATTCAAAATTGTCCACAAGGCTTAATGAGTGTTATTCACAAAAGGATTAATTTATCAAAAATATTACATAATTAAAATGTTGAAGTATACAATTTTTACCATTTTCTTACTCATTTTCTGAAAAATGAACCAAACACACAAAGGTAAATTTTTCGTTGTGTAACCAAACATCGAAAATTAAAATGTTTTTTGAAAAATGACTCAATTTTCCGGAAAACATTTTCCAAAAGTCATTTTCCTACTTTCCAAACGGAGCCTTAAAAAAAACATTCTATGCTATTTTGAATATATATTTCATTCTTGTGTATTGCAGGTCAATGCATTTAGAGAACGGAGAGCTCTCGCTTTGTCTCTGAATGACACTAAAACTGCAGTAAACAAACTACATCAGATGTTGAATGTCCTTGTAGCTATACTCATAGTGATCATATGGCTTCTAATACTTCGAGTCGCAACAACCCATTTTTTCGTCTTTATAAGCTCTCAGGTCCTACTAGTGGTGTTCATGTTTGGAAACACTGCTAAGACGACATTCGAGGCAATTATCTTCTTGTTTGTAATGCATCCGTATGATGTTGGTGACCGTGTTGAGATCGATGGAGTTCAGGTAACAATTTTTCTTACAAATGACATATTCTCCCTTTTTCCGCGGCTTTTCTCCCATTTGAATTGAAATTTTCTTTAATTGGCGTTTTAGATGATAGTGGAAGAGATGAATATTCTGACTACGGTTTTTCTGAGATTTGACAATCAAAAAATCACATATCCAAATAGCGTCTTGTCTACAAAACCTATAAGCAATTACTACCGAAGTCCAGACATGGGAGATGCAATCGATTTTGTCATTCACATCTCGACTCCCATGGAAAAGATTGCAACAATGAAAGAGAAAATAATAAGGTATCCATGTCTTCTTATTATATCCTTTTTCATTCATCATAACAGGCTTTCACTATTATTTACCATATGATAATGCCTTGTTGCCTCCTCATGAAAAAGGATTTGAGTGGTGTCTTTTATTTGCATAGGTACATTGAGAACAAAAGTGAACATTGGTATCCGGCTCCGATGATAGTGATGAGAGACGTGGAGGACTTGAACAGGATAAAATGGTCGATTTGGCTATCGCACACGATGAACTTCCAGGACATGGGGGAGAGGTGGATGAGGAGAGCTCAACTGTTGGAAGAGATGATAAGAATATTTAGGGAGCTTGATATCGAGTATCGCATGTTGCCTATGGACGTGAATGTTCGAAACTTGCCTCACTTCACTTCAACCAGACTTCCCTCTAACTGGACTGCTTGCTCCACATAAACATAAAGAGTTAATATCATCTAAGGTCCTCTGAGTATAGTGGTTTTGTCATGTTTGGTCCTACACTTTCAAATTCAACATCCGTGGTCCTTCAACTTTCAAATTGTTATCATTCGTGGTCCAAATTAACCATTCTAGTAATTCAACTATCAAATTTTAAACAATCATGGTCCTTCGAGGAGGACTATGACTGGTTAAATTTTGCAAGTTGAAGGACCATGTGTAGTTAATTTGGACTACGGATGGTAGCAATTTGAAAGTCGAAGGACTATGGGTGTTCAATTTAAAAATTTAGGACTAAACGTGATAAAATCACTATACTCGGAAGACCCCACAGTATTAACTCTAAACTAAAACATTACTCAACTTTTGACTTATCAATCCACAATCATGCAGTGACTGATTGTATATGTACATAGTATTATTAGTTTTGTTTTTACTCAGCTGTGGTTATTGTTGCTATCCTTGTAGCTGTTTAATGTTGTTGTTTACCATTCATGCCATCCAGTGCTCAGATATAGTGTAATTTCACTACACTATTAACAGCAATTTTAGCGAGTGTATACAAACTGAGCTCGAACAGTTTGAACTCAAGTGAGTCGAGTTTGAGCTTGGTTGAGCTCGAGCGGAGTTCAAGTTTCAATTTTTTGAATTGAGCCAAACTTCGAGCTTTGACTATTTGGATTCAATTCAGTTTGTTTACACCTCTACATCAAACAGCTAAAAGCTAACCCAATAGATTGTTTATCAAACAAGGCTTAGGCAAATTGTTCTGTGGATATTATTTGTACTGAATGTACATTATTTGATAGTATACGAAATAATGTACTTTCAGTACTCAAATAATATACATGTACTTTTAGTATATTAACAAATTGTCCACACAGCTGTGGACATGGTCCATAGAATAATGATTGCAAAGCCTATAAGCTACTTGAACCAAGGGTTGACATTTTAAACCAAATACCATATAATAAAATTGCACTCCTGAACAGAAGCCATAAGCATTTAGATTGATTGTCATGATACAGTTTTCTCTCCTTTCTTTACACTGGGAATAACTGTAGAAACACCACTGAATGCAGAAAACAATAGGTTGCTGATTTTGCTCCAGTGATAAATTCTTAAGCTATTTGAACTCCAACTACACTGAGAAGAAGGGAAATGCGGGTGTGCAGCGAGGAAGAGAGACAGACAGAGAGAGCTACAAAATGTTGATACTGATAGATGAACTTTATGGTTTTTGAAACGTGTTAAGTTTGCAATTCGGAGCAATACAATAATTACCAGGTAAAAGAAGGGAGAATGTACGTTGGAAATGCATCATGCCTTGATGCAAGAGCATGGACAGAAGTATCGTCGGCAACTTCTCCAAATTTGCCAAGTCCAAGTTCAGTCGCATGGATCCCGCAGGTAATAAAGGCTGAAGCAATTCCGGCTGCATTTGCACCTTTGATATCATGGTGCAGTGAGTCTCCAACAGCAATACAGTTAGAGGCATCTTCATCAGTCATCGCCATTGCTGAGTCGTATATAATCTGGTATGATAAATATCACAAGATCAAACCAAGATGCTGGGGCAAATTACATATGACAATGGCATGCCAAATATATACACAAGTTCATTTACTTATTTAGCACATCCTTGGCGCTTTAGTGAAATATATAGCTGCAGAATTATTGAAAAATAACCCATAATTCAGGGTGCTCTAATGGTTGCTACATGCAAGCACGCAAGTAAAAAAGAGAAATGCAAAAACAAGCAAAGGTGGAGAACTTCCATTAATGTAATCACCTTATCAGGCTTGCCCATCCATTTAACTTCCCCACCGAGGTTTTCATATTTCGCTGCTAATGTTCCTGAAAATATGGAAGAAAAAAGAATTAAGTGATGGTTAGACAAAGTAGATTACAAATACACTGATAAATAGAGTTCATATATAACTATATAAGATGCTACAAATCTATCAGACTGGTATGGACACATAAAATTAAAACCTTCTAAAAGTAACACGGTTACCGGGCATAACACGCAGTGCCCTGGCCTCAACAGTCACAAAATCAGGATTTGCCACCACCATCGGAATTTTTCTATCAGCACACTGCTTTAATATTTCCTCAAGATCCTCAAGCTTCATTGGAAGTGCAGCTCCAGAACGGAGCCCTATGGCCTCAGTGCCATGAGCTAAAATAAAATCAGCTTCTTGAACATCTTCCACAACTTGTAACCCCAGGCCCTGAAGTAAAAGTGCTTCCGACATGTTTAGTAATCGGAACCTAGACATAAGTGCAGTTTACAACATTGCATAATGTCATAATTTAGGAATGGAGATGCACGCCATGTATTCGAGATTGATAAGAAAACATTGATTACGAAATTTCAATGATACTTTCTCAACTTTGTTTCAAATTTATCTTTGCTCATTAGATTATAATAAACCTGCTCACATTTGCTGATAAAACTCACAGGTTGGATTTAAGGCTTCAATGAAACTTACAAATTTAGCATACCTCAAGAGATATAGCCCCCCTATCATTCCAAGTAAAGTGAATGCAGGACCTCCCAAGTGCGGCGAACCATGGATCGTCTCTCCTATGCACAATAAATGTCATGAAGAAACCATTCAGTTGCTTACATAAATGTATAAATAATGAGAAAAGTTGTCAAGTGTTGATATTGAGTCATATGATGGAATAAATAAGTTAAAAAATCAAATGTTTAATTATCACAAAAGAGGTATCTCGTTACTTAAAACCTTTGTAGGCATGACTAAATAATTCTCATCATAAACAATCATAGAGTTCTAGAAACTGAGTGAGGCACATCCATCTCACAATTTGAAATGATAATTTTGATTTCATCATAAGAAAATGCAAACCCTGCATTAAACAAGAGATTGGGAACAAAATATTGGTCTAAATATGATGCAATTTATACTAGTGAATTAACTCCAATTAAAATTAGTAACCTCTGCAGGTTCTGGTAGGTCAATTCTCCACTTGTGATTGCACCCACAAAGAGAGATGGATCAAATCCAAGACTCTTTAACTTTTCCAGGGTCACTGATGCCCTCCTTGAAGAATTACTGATAACCACCATTTTTGCACCATATTTTGCCAGATTTTCCACTGCTCATGGATGGATAATAATCTTAGCGAATAACAAAACAAGACAACTGAAAAAGCGTTGAATTAACAAATATACCTCACGAAAATGAGAAAGCTAAAACATACAGGTTGAAATGGCACCAGGGTAGGGTTGTTTTCCATCATGAAGAACTCCAAATTGATCCAAAAACCATGCCTAGAAAGATAATTGTTTTCATACAAACTTTCACCAAATAAAGAAAATGAACACAACTCAGGAATTAACGTGTATAAACGTCTACTAGAAGACCTAATTTCTTATAACATCACAATACTTCATAGATAGTGCCTGCTGAAACCTAAACAATTCCAGGGGGCAGCACACCAGCACCATTGGAGTATTTAGAAAATGAATGGCACATTCTTTATCTGTCAATACGGATTCACTCTCTAGAATTCCCACCCTAATTCTCAGCATTATGGAGTCTGTTTTCCATGTGGATAACGAACCAATCCAAAACATTTGCTTCCGCGGCATACTTTTATACAACTTATAAGATCAATCAACAGTGAATTTGTACAGATTAGGAGTTTAAAACTCATAATTTTGGCAGATATGAAGAATCGAATAACAGCGAAATTGAAAGAAGAAGCGCGTAGAGGACAGTGTACCTTGAAGCGTCGAGTTTCAGCAAGTTGGTTAAGGCCATTCAAGGTCTGGAACTGGAAAAGCTGGTTTGGATTTGAGGATTGATGAAGCGACGAGGATGATAAACTGCAGCTGCTTATCATGTTCATCTGGGTATGTTTCTACAGTTGCAGTTAGCTTGGAGGCTTGGAGCTATGGTTCTTTCAGATTCGGATACCCGTAACGACTTAACTAATGAAGACGTGGCCAAAAGTGACAAATTATACTGTGGACCGCGTTTCGCAAAGCATCGTGGATCATGGTTCAAAACAATGTTATTTATTTATTTTTTTAAATCTAAAATATACAAAACTACATCAGTTTATAGCCGAGGTATGACGCCAAACTGGCACACCATCGCTGTCCTCTTCTAGTAAGAACTTTATCGCATTGGGAGGTGCCCCACGAGTATGTAAACCCCTTGGAAGGTTTTGATTTGAACCTAGTCTAAAATTCAAATAAGATGGAATATTGTCTAAGAATACTCTCAAAAGTAAAGATAGAGATGAATCAAAATACCTTAAACCTCACAAAAATCTCTTTGACTCGAATCCTCAAAGACTTAGAAGAATCTCACTGTAGCTAGAGTCAGATTTAGTTTCCTTCGATTCAAGAACGAGTCCACGAACCTAAATCTAAGGTTGAAGAGAAGAAGATTGATTCGAGTCCATGAATCAATTTGCTAGTTGAGTCCATGAATCAATTTGCTAGTCGAGTCCATGACTAGCCACTAATTGAGTCCACAATTAACCATAAGGTTTCTTACACAAGTATAAAGAAAAACCTAATAATTTTATTGAATTAAAGCCTCCTCAAAACTGATATGGACGTGCGCTATTTATAGGTATAGGGCAGCATGGTAATCCTAAACACAATGGGAAAAAGAGTCCTAAACCTAATCTAGAAAGCAAGTAAATATAGTTCTATTTAGAAAGGGATTTAAGAAATCCTTTCTAAATACAAAATAGTGTTTTCTATTTAATGCCAAACCATTAAAAATAATTATGACTAAAAATAATAAGGCGTATTTGGGCCTAATTTAATCTCCAAAATCAGCACTTAAACAATTATAAAAATCTTTGAATTCTTCTTCATTTTTTTGCAAATGGGCTTGACTTGGATTTCCACTATCTTTGAATATCACCAATGAAGAGTTGTCTTAATTGTTTGGACTTGGGCCTTGTGATTGGCTCAATTGGTACTCTTGATGGATCTTCATTATGTTGGGCCGCATCATTCTCCCATTCTTGAAATGATTCGACCTCGAATCTTGTAAGCATTGTGTTCGATCCATGATATGATACCACTTGAAATGGGCCACTATAATACTTTCCTCTATCGAATGGAATTATTATTGGACCTTCTTGTTTCTTCCACCAATGATTCTTTATGGATGTAGTTATGGGCCTTGTGATGAGCCCACTATAGACCCTTACAATAGTTATGCTGTGCATCCGTATGCACCATGCATGGTGCATACGGGTGCCAAAACGACGTGGTTTTATTAAAAAAACGCGCGTCTCCCCTTTAAAAAAAAGTTCAGGTTCGATTCCCAGCAACAACATTATATTGTTCATTCATTCTGGAATTTTAGTTCATAGATTATGGAATTATAGTTCATTGATTATGGAATTATAGTTCATCGATTATGGAATTGTAGTTCATCGATTCTGAAATTTTAGTTTATAGATTATGGAATTTTAGTTCATTCATTGTGGAATTTTTAGTTCATAGATTAGATTATGGAATTATAGTTCATCGATTGTGGAATTATAGTTCATCGATTATGGAATTATAGTTCATCGATTGTGGAATTTAAGTTCATATGTTGTTGCTGGGAATCGAACCTGATTTTTTTTTTTAAGGGGAGACGCGCGTTTTATTAAAACGACGTCGTTTTTGCATCCGTATGCACCATGCATGGTGCATACGGATGCACAGCATAATTTGCCTAGACCCTTATTGGATTCCATGTGTACTGGTTCCTATTAGGTTTCTTTCCATTTTTTTAATGAAAAGAAACGACATCTATTTCGCATAAAGTAGCTCTGTTTGTATAACATATTTAGGTTCATTTAATATACACTGCAGTTTCATTTTAACATAACTGCAGTTTCATTTCGATATAATTACAGTTTCATTCGACATTATACACTCAAATATGTGAAACTGATTCAGTTTCATTTTGTATACACTATAGTTTCATTACAATACAATTACAATATCATTTCAGTATAACTACAGTTTCATTGAACAATATACACTGCAGTTTAATTTCAATACAACTACAGTTTCATTTCGATATAACTACAGTTTCATTCAACATTATACCCTAAAATATGTGAAACTGTTATTCAGTTTCATTTGATATACACTATAATTTCATTACAACACAACTACAATACCATTTCGATATAACTACAGTTTCATTGGATAATATACACTCAAATATGTGAAACTGTTATTCAGTTTCATTTCAATTCAATTATAGTTTCATTTGATAATATAAAAACAATATGTAAGACAATTTCATTTTAGATACATTGTAGTTTCATTTTGTAATTAACACACCAAAAATACGTGTTTTGTTAATATGTAACGGCAGTCGTTTCTTTACTTAAAGAAACGACGCCGTTTTTGGACTATGGTCCACGATATAACGACTGGTAGAGCCATCAAAACGGTCTCGCGGGGCGGGGCGGGCCAAAACACACCAAAGCCTGTCCTGGTAGCGGGACGGGCTAAAAAGCCCGCCTCTTAGCGGGCTTGGAATGTGGTCGGCCCACCCCGCCATGCCAAAGCCCGCTGGCGGGGCGGGCTAGCCCGCCAATCAATTTTTTCACTGTGTTAATTTTTTTTTAAATTATTGTACAATATCCTTCAAAAAAAAAAAAAAAAAAGAATCATTGTACAGACGTACAGTACACTAACACATTAACACTACCTAGTATTGTATTCCTATAAATCTATAATCCTATAAGTTATAACACACTAACACAATTACACAAACCAAAATAACACAAAAAATAATATGTATTAAATACTAAATATATATACAGTATATATATGTATTAGCAGGTCGCGGGCTAAATTCGTGACCCAGGCGTAGCCCGCCTCCAGGTGGATCAAAATTTGAAGAACCCGTCCCCTATCTACGACGGTACCGGACGGATCGACCCGGCGGGTAAAACCCATTTTTATGGCTCTAACGACTGGCCAAAAGTAGAGAACCCAACCAGAGCAACCCCAATAGGGATCTTGATTGATCTTGATTTTTAACTAATGGTGATGCTGATTATTTGTTGAGTTTTCTTCGTGTAAGAGTGAAAAGGGGTGTTCAATCGATTAATAAAACTTTGGTTAACCGTTCGGTTAATTTGGTTAACCGACCTTTCGAACCGAATTAACCGTTAACTGACATTTCGAACCGAATTAACCGTTAACCGAAGTTTCAAAATTCATTTAACCATTAACCGAACCAAAAAAGTTCGGTTCGAAATCGGTTAACCGAACTTTGTCGGTTCGGTCGGTTAACCAAAAATTATCCGAAGTTTGCACAACCCTAAGAGTGAATGATTTTTATTTATATATATATAAAAAAAAAAAAAAGGCACTTGAGGGCATGGTCTTCAGAGTGGCCACTAGTTGGCGGTCAATTAGAAAGGAAGCTTCTTTTTTTTTTTTTTTTTTTTCTTTTTTAAGCTGGTCATTGCTACGACCAACTTTTATCTTCTTTTTATTTTTATTTTTAATTTTAAGCTAACCGTTGCAACAATCGGAGTTTTTCTTTAAAAAAAAAAAGTTTTTCTTGCTTAATTTTCTTGTTAAATTTTTAAATTTGAACAAAAATTTATGTAATATAAATGTAGTATATAATTTTGATACCATATTATTGGAATTGAAAATTTATAATTATAAATTTAGTTTAATTTTGACATGTTTAAATTAAATATAAAAAATAATAATTGTAATTATAATTTTTATCATGATAATAAATAATAAACAAAGAAATAATTAAAATATAGTCGAGTATAATGGTAGGTCCACAAAAAATTGAAAAAAATCTAAAACTAATGGGGTGAAAGTTTTTGGGATTGTGTGAAATAGTAGATGATGAGATGGATGTTAGGACCCACAAAAAATTGGTGAAAAACCAATTGATGAGGATGCTTAAGGGGTCATTTGGTTCTTCAAACCGTATGAACTACGGTCAAAAAACACATAAAGTACATTATTTTAACTCATAAAATACATGAGTTCTCAAATTAACCATCTTATACTCTCATCTGGTAGCTTCCTACGTACTAGACGCAGTCGTTCTTTGCTAGGGTTGCAAAGAAGACGAAGAGCCTCCTATGGATTTGGGGATTTGACTTCTTTCAACCTGAACCTAACTAATTTAGTGCCAACGCATTGAAAGGACAAAAATACCCTTAGTTTGGACGTGAAGTAACATAAAATGTAACATATAACTCTTTTAAGTAAGTTTTTCGTAATTAAAGGACTAAATCGAGCAAAAAAATTAAACAAAAGAATTTTACAAGTAAATTGCAATAGTCAATAACCCAAGGTCATATAATCTCTTTTTTATAAGATTAAGGTGTTTTAGGTTAGAGATAGGTGTTTTCAAAAAAAAAAAAAAAAAAAGGTTAGATATAGGTGTAAAGCAGTACAACTAGCTAAACGGATAAGGTGTAGAAATATAACACTAGGCACTGGTAGAAATGTTGAAAGGTGATGTATGTGAAGAACAAGGGCAGGTAGAAGAGTAGCAGTGTAAGCATTTCTTCAATGGCGGCCCCTGTCAAAGTGTACGGCCCGCCTCTCTCTACCGCGGTCTCAAGGGTTCTAGCTTGTCTCCTTGAGAAAGATGTCCACTTTCAACTCGTCTCTGTCAACATGGCCAAAGGTGAACACAAGACCACCGACTACCTAAAGATCCAGGTCCCAATTCTCACCATTATCTACTTTTTTCTTCCAATTCCATCGCCATTTCTATTCTGCTCTCACTCTTATCGTTGCAATTCAAGCAGCCCTTTGGCCAAGTACCGGCATTTCAAGATGACCAAATCACTCTCTTCGGTAATCAATTTTAAATCCCAATAATAAATTGTTTATGTTCCTGCGTAGATTTCTGCATCAATTTCACTAGATTTAAGATCCTGGCAGCTTTCACAGTGGCAATATGTATATGTGTATGGATAGTAAGGAAGCATGAAGTTTTAATTTGGTCTCATTTTGGCTGGAGATTTGTGAAGAGTAAAACATTTAGGAATTAATTTCACTTTTGGTCCCACGACTTTAGAGGATCTATCACTTTTGGTGCACAACTTTAAAAGTTTTCAATTTTGGTGCCTAACTTTGTTGTTTTTATCAATTTTGGTCCTTTCAACCAAATTGACGACGAAATATTACCGGATTTTATATTTTTAGGGGTAAAATCGTCATCTCAAGGAAACATCTTCAATATCTAAACAAAATCACTCTAAAATCATATCTATAGGTGTTTGATCGATGAGAATAATTGGGAAGACGGACAGAAACTAGACACAGATCTATGAGATTTATAGCATCGATTGCCAAACTCTTATATTTCTCTTAACATGATTTTTCTTTTGTTTAGATATTGAATATCTTTCCTTGGGATGACGATTTTGCCCCTAAAATGTAAAATCCGGCAATATTTCGCAGTCAATTTGGTCGAAAGGACCAAAATTGATAAAAATAACAAAGTTAGACACCAAAATTGAAAAAATTTAAAGTTGTGCATCAAAAATGATAGAACTTCTAAAGTCGTGGGACCAAAAGTGAAATTAGTTCAAACATTTAGTTCAAAGAATAGATTTTTATGTGAAAAACACTGCAACAAGGAAAAACCTAAGGTGTTTAGAGAATTTGAGTCTTTGCCCATTAGCATTCCTTGAAATGCTTCTTACTTTTGGTAATTATTTCTAATTTTAGTCCCACAACTATTAACTCACTTCTACATTTAATCTATAACTCTATTATTTTTACCAAATCATTGATAAAAGATAGGTGGAATGCATCACATTTTCAATTCAAAACCATGCATTTCCTCTCCAAAGGTATCAAGATGTTCATTTCCGGTATGGTTTTGAACTGGAAATGTGACAATTGTTATAGTATGGACCAGGGTCCACCTTGCTTTGTGGACTATTGTCCAAAACGATTTCTGCAGTTAACATATTATGTGCTGTAGACACTTAACATATTATGTACATGCAATTAATATATTAACGGTAGACACATAATCTGAATGTCATTTTTGGACCATGGTTCACAATGCAAGGTGGACCCTGGTCCATGGTATAATTTGCCGAAACGTGACATGTTATGATTGTTTTCTGTAGGAGATTTAGTGAGAAGGATTAGATGTGGTGAAGAAAATGATAGTTGTGCACCAAATGTGGTAAAAATAGACCAAATGTAGGAGTGACCTAATAGTCATGGGCAAAAGTAGGAATAATTCTTCCTTGAGGGCTCCTTTAGATTAAGTGTATGTATATTTGGACATTTTGGTAGTGTGTTGGTGGAGCTTTAGATTGATCTGGATATCGTCAAATGGACAAGCCTACTCAAAACTTGCATACTTCTATATACTAGCTTAGTAGCATTGATTTGGATTTTCACTTTCTTTTTGTCTTGTAAAACCAGAATCCAGAGCTATATCGCGATACATATGCGATAAATATGCAAACCAAGGATGCAAGGGACTGTATGGAACAAACCCATTGGTGAAGGCATCAATAGAGCAGTGGATAGAAGCAGAGTCACAAACCTTCAATCCACCAAGCTCGGCTCTTGTATTCCAGTTGGCTTTCGCACCGCGAATGAATATGAAGCAGGATGAGAAGCTGATCAAGCAGAACGAAGAGAAGCTTGGCAAAGTGCTTGATGTGTACGAGAAGAGGCTCGGAGAGAGCCAGTACTTGGCGGGTGATGAGTTCACACTGGCTGATCTCTCTCACCTACCGAACATTCAGTATTTGGTGAGTGTGACTGATAAAGGAGACCTATTCACTTCGAGGGAGAATGTGGGGCGGTGGTGGAGTGAGATTTCAAGCCGGGAGTCGTGGAAGAAGGTGGTTGAAATGCAGAGTCTACCACCTCCTCCACAGAGCTCCTGAGTTTTATCTTTTGACTATTTTCTTGTTTGTATTGTGGCCCATCTAACCATGCACTCCTATTGGGATGGTATATAACGTCCAATTATATTATTTGAACTATATGTATGTTATACACAAGCTAAGAAAATGAAATAATATATGTATCAAGACCTTCTTGGAGAAAGTGGGAAGCAATACCCCATAGGATGATCATGAGCCGATGAAGAGTTGTTTAAGTTGTGGAGCAAATAAGAAGGGGAAGAGTCCCTGCTGGTACAAGTGTTTTGAGGACTAGTGAAGAAGGCAGGAGAAGAAGTTGGACTGCCTAATCCTCTGCGTTTCTTCTGCCTTTGTTTCGCTTCCTTTTGCCATTTCTTCACAGCCTTTGCTGTTTGCTCTTCAAATATTGCAGTCTTCATGTGTGATCCCATCTGCATATACATATGTATATATCAACCTCATCCATCACTTTTATGCATGTTTCAATGTTCATCATTACATATCTAACTATGGCCATGTTTGGTAAATGGCAGATCAGTCATTTTTTTGGCGGATTCGCTATTTTTAGCGTTTTGACCATGCCAAAACGCCAAAAAACATGTTTGGTAAAGCAGCGCGTGCTACTTTTGCAAAAGCTGCATTTTGTAGTGTTTGCAGTTGACGTTTTGAAGCCTTCTCAAATGAGATCGAGAATCTCGATTAATTGCTTACCAATTATAAGTTACAATTCCGATTAATTTATAAAGATTCATGAAGAAAGATGAGAGGAGTACTCACTTGTGTTACTAGGGCATAATGAGGGAATGTAATGTATGAGCACAAGACATGGAGGATCACCCCAAGGCAAACTCTCACCACAATTGAATATATGTTATCATGTACACAAGATGTGATTCCAAACTCCCACTTCATCAATAACAAAAACAGCTCTCTAGTGAGATTATTGACAAATTTTGGTGTGTGTGCAACAACTTCATAAGACATATAGGTTACTTCTAGTTAAGAGTTTTAATTACTTACCAAAGACCATAAGAAGTAGGCCAGTTGAAACGCATTCTACAAATTGAGTTGAAATTAATTGTCAGATCGATATAAGTTTCAACTTTTGTATAGTACTAAATTTTTGTAACGATCATTGCTCATTATCAATATAACGTAATGTACCTCAAATAAAGAGAAATGTATTAAGAAAAGAATCCACTGAGGTTTGCTGAACCAGAAGAAATCATTGGTTGGTTCAACAATTGGTGCTCCTCTAACAACATTAGCCTTGTCTTGGATTTTTTGTGCCATCTCCATGATCACTAGCTCAAGCTTGGTTCCGGTTAACACAAGTATCTACCATATATAAATCAAGACGGGTGATTTTATATAAGTTTAACCAATTATAAAGATTGAAAATTTATTCAATTGGTATCTCTCTTGCCTTCGATATAAATCTAACTTTTTTTCAAAACTTTTTTGTTTTTACTTGATACAAGACTCGACATTGTAGACTTTTCTTATATATGTTTGGCTTACCACAAGAGGGGATAATGCTATCCACGCAATTATATGCCATTCTGCACCAAAGTTGAACACAATGAGAAATTAATTAATTAACCAAATAAGACTAAAGGTCTTGAATTTTGTTACTATAAATATGAGTTCACGAATTTAATATCTGACCTCGAAATGTAGTAAAAATAAATTTAAGTAAACAAAAAATTGGGAGAGTGAGAAATTTAACAAACTTACTGTGGATATTGAAGAGCAAAAAGATAGTGGCTGAGAACCATAAAGGGAGGCTGAAATTTTAGAAATAAGAGTATTTTTAGTGTTTAATTTGCATTTTCCTTGCTCAAATTTCAGCTGAGTATTTTGCATACTCTACGAGTATGTGTTTGTTGAGTGTAAATTAAATACGCACCTTATACCTAACACCCTTTTGTAGTCATCCTCCATGGATCTTTTAATGTATTTATAAAAATTGAACTTAGCATTTGGAGCAAAATGTGCCTACAATTAAGTTAAACGTAAAATTCAACTCAATAATAATAATAATAATAATAATAATAATAATAATAATAATAATAATAATAATAATAATAAAAGTATGAGGGAGGAATATAATAATTACTTTGATGAATCCATTTCGAATTGTCAAGTAATCAACCTTGGATATGGAACCAGTGAATTGTCTGAAGAAGGCTACCTGTTTGTTGCTCTCATCACATTCCAAATTGAGCAGAAAATAAAAAAATAATAAAAATAATAAAAAAAAACGTTAAAAAAGAAAAGAATCATACAATCCAGTTGATGCCAGGGATTGTGGAGAGTCCCGAGTGACGCCTCACAAAGGATGTTTGATGAACGTATCTGAATCTACTCGGATCTGAACAAACAATTAATCACAACTTCACTTATTAATTATGAGTCTTATTAGTGGGAGGTGAGAGATAAATTTTTGAAAAATATTATATGTACTCTCATTTTCTATTCTTATACTTAAAATATTTCTGTAGATATTTTTATAGGGGTTTACATGAAGAAAATAATTTATCAACGCTCATCATATCATAGAGTAAGATTTGAGAGTACGTACATGTGTGGTAGAACTTTAAATTTTTATTGCTAATTTTTTAATAAAAATTTTTATTGCAACTGATGTGACTAAAAACTTATATATAACTAATCAAAAATAGAATTCATTCAGACATAGGTATAAAGTATTAAAAAAATAACAATTAAAATCATTTGTTTTTATGAGAAAAATATGTGGCAGGTGACCAACCCCAACTTACCTTAAACTAGTGGTGTATGAGTATGATGGGTTTGTATAATAAGTATAGTGGGTTTACTTTAGGAATCTCAGTCTCGGATCACTTTTGCTCAGTTCCTAATAGCATTCTTATAAGTTACGTACTTGATTTTTCACGATTTTTGAAGTGTCATTAGAAAAGAGAGAGGATGTCAAGAAAAAAGAGATCGAGAAAAAGAAAAAAATTGACAACAAATTAAAAAAATTAAAAGAATTTATAAATACACGCGTTGGGCGCGCTTCTTGCGCTCCACGCGCAAAGATGCTCGGTTATTTTCCCTTCTTTCTCACATTTTGGGCCCCACAAAAAAACATAAATAGTAAGAGAAAAAATCTTTGAAAAATCAGCCATCTCATTAGAGAAAAATTACCCTCCTAGTTTTTCACTATTCAAAAAACCAATAAAAGTGTGTTGATGAGATGCTCTAAATTTAATTTGTAAAAAATTTATATTTTATTTCTTACATTTGTTAATGTATTAGATAATTTAGTTTTTAAATTGCTAGTTTTTTTTTTTTTTTTTTTTTTTTTTTTTTTTTTTTTTTTTTTGCAGACAAATTGCTAGTTAGTATCTAACTTATTTACGACTTGGTAAATATATACATGTATATGCAACTTACTAGATTAATGCATGTTGTTAGATGAATTGATTAAGGTCGTCTTTGGTAAATCTTATTAGTCAATTTTGGCTTATTTGACTACTATTATCCGTTTGACTTGGTTAAAAAATCTATATAAGTGATTGGTTAATCAGCTTTTGTAACTCTAAAATGCTAAAAATAAAAAAATAAAAAAATAAAAAAACTGCTCAGAGCTACTTGTTCAATTAGTTCTTTGAAAAAAGAAATTATACCAAATAGCTATCAGTTAATTTATCAAACACCTTTCTACAATCAGCTAATATTATCAACTAATGATATTCTCTAACTCAATCAGCTAACATTCATTTATCAAATAGGGCCTAAATGTTGTTAGACGATTTAATTTGATGAATGTTTTCAATATAATATTTAAATCGATGAATTCATATGATGATTGACGAATACTTAAATAATAATGGCTCGTTTAGTTCACGGAATAGGCTGGGAATGGCATAGCATTTTCAGTAACAGACCTATTCTTCTGTTTGGTAACAATGCCTATTACTAGGAATATTGTTAAATGTTCTTTACAAAAGTTTGTTATTTATATGACTATTTTGTTTTGAGTATTAATCACTTGATATGACGATGATGATGATCTATAGTAGTTGTTGTAATAATAATAATAATAATAATAATAATAATAATAATAATAATAATAATAATAATAATAATAGTTTTTGTACAAGGGTATTTATGTCTTTTAAACATATATTCTATTCCTATTCCTTAACCAACCAAACATTGAAATACAGTTCCCAATGTCTATTCCTTTAGTGAACCAAACAACAGAATACAATTCCTATTCTATTCCTTACCTATTCTATTCCCTATGGAATAGCATTTCTATTCCCTCCAAATTCATTCCGTGAACCAAACGGCCCGTAAATTGCTAAAAAGGGGTTAATGCGGAATTATTTATGAGAGGAATGCAGATACTACTAAAATTTAAGTAATCAAGTTTTGTGATTCAATTATTAAAAAAAATTCAAAACAAAATTTATATTTGAATAATTGTTTAGTGAAGTTGTTCATGACCCTATTTGGTAACATAATTAATTTATCAATCAATTTTGGCTTGTTTGACCACTATTAGCTATTTGACTTGGTTAAACACCAAATGAGTGTTTGATTAATTAACTTTCTGTAACAGCTTAGTGTTCCAAAACGCTAAAATTAAAAAAGTTGTTCAAAGCAATAACTTTTTGAGAAAGTCATTTTGCATGTAATCAGGCTATAAACTAACAACGGCTAATTTACCAAACATCTTTCTACAATCAATTAATCTTATCAACTAGTCAAAACCTAGCTAACAACTATTTACCGGACACCGCCATATAATTTTAGTATGCATTTTTGCCCTCACTAGACATTTGTCTAACTCCACCCTTTGACGAAATGATCAAAAAACACAACAAAGAGTAAAAGTAAAATGAGATAAATATAGTAGATTTGAAGAATTAAAATAGATACTCCAAAACAAGCATACAATGTGGGAAGTAGTGTTACCATATGATAATTCATACTCTAGGGATGAGGTTTCCAATTCCCATGCCTTCCATCTCCTCATCTAAATAAACAAAAGCATTAGCATATTCTAACATTAAAAAAATCAATTAAATAACATGACATATTGTGATTAATTAGTTATTAAATTAAAGAACATATGATATATAATTATTAATTGCATGCTGAAATATTAATAAAAAATTATAGTAATTTTAAAAACTCACTTTGAGTTGGCCCAAAAGGACAAGGACGACGCTGTAAACAATGTGCATTACGGCAAGAACGAAGATGAATATGTGCAATTGGTGCACCCCTGCGTACGATATCAACGATGCCTTCCCCTGTATAATTCGCACCATTAATATTACCCATTACCAATATTTTTTTTTTTTTTTTGTACTTTGAAAACAAGCAATCACGATTAAGTATATTAACAAAAATCAAACATGTGACCTTTTAGTACAAGACATTTATATTCGATAAAATCATACCTCTCAATCTAGAACTTTAAGTAAAAAGAAACATACAATATAATTTAGTTAAACATAGAATCATAGGAATTTCTACACTACACTATACAAGAACGACAACATTATATTTTTTAATGGTTTACTTGGTTCACAAGAAAATATTTTTTATGAGATTTAAAAAAAAAAAAAAAAGAATGAGGAAAAATATATTTTACATTGTTTAGTTGATGAGAAATTTTTTTAAATGAAAAATGAATTCATTGCTCTCCTTTAGTATTTTATTTTCTACACATTTAAAAAGAAAAAATGCAACAAGAATTCCTATATTATCATCACATATCTTTATTATGTAGAGACATTTAATTTGATTTTTTGTATTAATTATTGCCAACAACTTATTTCTTACCAACTAAATAATAGATCAAAATTAATATTCCAAGTAATGTTTCCTATGAAATTTAGATTGTGTTTGGTTCAAACATTGAAATCAAAATGATAATAATAATGAATTTAAGTAGAATGAGCCACTTTGTTTCTAGTAAATAAAAATTATAATAAAAATAAAAATAAATAAATATATAACTTATTTGTGGAACAGAGCTAATAAGTAATAACTTTTTTTTTTTTTTGAAAAGAGCTAATAACTTATTTGTAGCTTAAAAATTAAAAATTCTGGTATGCATATATATATACTCACCTTGGAACTACAATAATCCTTCTCGTCGTCAACTCCGGCCAAAAACCGGCGGTGCAAGACATCTCCGGTGACATTAAAGGAAAGTAAAAGACGGCGGCGATTATAAGGGCAGGGAAGCCAGGTGTGTGCGAAATGGGGCGGAATGCATATTCTGGCAACGAGGGTGGTGCTCACAGTGAGCAATAAGGATATGAACCCTAACAGCATTAATTCTGCCTTTATTTTCTCCAACGCTTCCATCATCGCCTTCTTCTGCTTCTTCTTGAACCACTGCCATTTTACCCGACCAAAAAGAAATTAATTTCAGAAATAATAATCTCCATTTTTATGTATATATGTATACTACCTCTCCAAGCTTATGAATGCCTTGTTCTATGACGATGGAAATGGCGATAAAGACACCGCAGATGGCGGCGAGCGCCCATGTCGGCGTTTCTTGCAGAGTCCGGGCGTCCCCTCCACCGCCGCCGGCCATTTTGTTATTATTGCCGACGCGTACGTACAGTATGTATGTATATATGTATAGTATATCTTCCTAGATTTATAGCTCCAATGGAATCTGTTTTCACAGAGCTGTGCCGGTTTGTACTTACTGCATTACGTAATACTAATGGCATAGGAAGAGAAAATAATATATTTATTTGTTAAGTACTATTATTATTATTATTGAAAGCCGGCCGACACAATATAACTATGCTAATTACAGCTTGAGAATTGACAAATTAGTGAACGTAACAAAGTCATATAAATTCATTATTTAAATTGTCTGCATCAATTTATTTGTTGCCATTGCTTATGATGGCAAACTATTCCTTTATAATATTACTAGTATTTAAATGCGTAATGCATAAAAATAAGTGTTCAATATTAATGTTTCAGCTAAGTAGATGTTATTTTTATGTTTGCTAGGCGTTATGTTTCAATATTGTTGCTCATAGGCTCGCTAGATCGCTGGTATTTTCATTAGTGGGGTAGAGTGCATGGTCCAGCATTCCACTTTAGTTTCTTTGTACTTCGATCTCTTTCAGTGTGATTTAAGGTGGTTAGGCTTTGGTTTTCTAGATTTGAACCAGTCAGCTGATTAGTTTGGTTCTTTGTGTTTCTTTACAAGCTAGAGTTGCAAAGTGGGATTTACTCAAACTTTCATCGTCACTCAAAAATTGTGATTATGTTAAAATAATAAATAAATAAATAACACAAACTACATAATCTATACTTTTTTTTTTTGAGTACTATCTAGTGTAGTATCTGTTCAATCTTATAACCTTTCCTCAAGGAGAGCCACCAAGGTGCTAATTGAACACAAGGTGCTTGGCACATAATCTATATATATAATATTAAAATAATTAATTATAAACTTAGTTATATATATATATATATATATATATATATATATATATATATATATATATATATATATATATATATATATATATATATATATATATATATATATATGTGTGTGTGTGTGTGTGTGTGTGTGAGAGTTCATTTCAGAAATGGTATTTTTTTACTATTTATCGTTATAAACTCCTCGACTTTCAATTTGAATATAAATGGTCCTTTTATTTGCATGACTACATGTTGACATATGCTTCTTATTCACATATTCCTTGTATTGGAGATATGTGCTTCAAAATTCACTATCTATTTTTATCCAAAATACTTTTTCAATATGCTTTACTTGTAAAATATATATGTCTTGATCGTGTTTTTTCGTTGATGTCCTTTAAAAAAAAAAAAAAAAAAAAAAAAGATACTCGCTGACTCCATCTTTAACCTAGCAAGTGTGTCAAAAATCAAAATATTATCCAAATCATGTAGTTTGCTCTTTCTTTTGAATCAAATTATTAAATTAAAACAAAGTTAGTTTTGACAGACACATACTTTTTTATAATTGACAAGTCAGTGCATTACTTTCAGTATATCTGAGTTTAGGAAAAATCATGCTCTCGTTTACGTTAGACCCATCCATATATTCTTAGGAAAAAAATTTCTATATAGATTGTGGAAAAGTGGTACGTTAACTGCTTCTTATATTTGCCATGCTCTACTATTCATTCATGATTGTTGACCACATAATATATAAGCATAAATTTTCAGTCTAACAATCAGTTTAGACTTTTAGTTTAGATGGAACATATGTTTTGATTTAGTATCAGAGCCAACATCTTGCTCTGATACCAAATTGACAAACTAAAAGCTTAAATTTCATACATTCAAGTCATGTATGCTCGATGATAAGGATGTTGGTGAAAATCCATATGCTTTATATGCTATTTTGAATATATATATATATATATATATATATATATATATATATATATATATATATTCATTCTTGTGTATTGCAAGGTCAATGCATTTAGAGAACGGAGAGCTTTTGCTTTGTCTCTGAATGATACTAAAATTGTAGTAAACAAACTACATCATATGTTGAATGTTCTTGTAGCTATACCCATAGTGATCATCTGGCTTCTAATACTTTAAGTTGGAACTACCCATTTTTTCGTCTTTATAAGCTCTCAGGTCCTGCTAGTGGTGCTCATGTTTGGAAACATTGCTAAGACAACATTCGAGGCAATTATTTTCTTGTTTGTAATGCATCCATATGATGTTCGTGACCGTGTTGTGATCGATGGAGTTCAGCTAACAATTTTGCTTACAAATGACATTTTGAAATTTACACAATTTCTTTAATTGGCGATTTAGATGACAGTGGAAGATATGAATATACTGACTACGATTATCATGAGATATGACAATAAAAAAATCACATATCCAAATAGCGTCTTGTCTACAAAACCTATAAGCAATTACTATATATCGAAGTCCAGACATGGGAGATGTAATCGATTTTGCAATTCACATCTCAACTCCAATGAAAAAGATTGCAACAATGAAAGAGAAAATAACGAGGTATCCATGTCTTATTATATCCTTTTTATTCATCATAACACACTTTCACTATTATTTACCATGTGTTAACTATTTCTTATATTTGTCATACTTTAATTTTCATTCAGAATTTTTGACCACATAATATATAAGCATAAATTTCCAACCCAACAATCAACTTAGACTTTTAGTTTAGATGAAACATATGTTTTGATTTAGTATCAGAGCCAACATGCTCTGATACCAAATTGATTAACTAAAAGTTTAAATTACATACATTCAAGTCAGGTATATACTCAATGAGGATGTTGGTGAAAATTCATAGACTTTATATGCTATTTTGAATATATATTTCATTCTTGTGTATTGCAGGTAAATGCATTTAGAGAACGGAGAATCCAAAATTTATCCATAAACTTAAGGCACTAACCCTTTTAATGCAAATTTTATCCATAAACTTAAGGTACTAGCACTATAGTTAACAATCTAGCAATGCATCCTCTCGACTCAAATTAATAAGACAAACTAATCAACTCAGAGGAAGGGAACATCTTCTCAAACATGTTATTAGCATTGTCGCCCAGATCCTTAGCTTGCATGCTCTATTATGACTCTGTTTGGTAGAGCTTATTTAGGAGCTTATAGATCATTTTAACCATAGGGAATCTCTTCTTTTGCTTCTCCCATAAATCCGTAATGCTTTTATTTCGATCCTCATCTTTCGAAACCTGGAGATACAAGGATGCCTTATTATTCAAATTAGCTTTTTGTGCATGCAAATGCTTTCCTTAATAAAACCAACTCTTTAGTCAAATATTTTTGACAAATAATTATAGATAGAAGGCATTAGCACATACTCCGATCATTTTGGTGGTGTTTGAATCTTCTCGGCTGCAGTAGCAGCTGCAGATACTGCGTCGTCAAAACCCAACTTCTGTAGTTCGTGAAGGAAACCATCCATGTCAGCAGCACTAATTTTATATGGACTATAAGTGTCACCCGGGAAAGAACCATTTGTCACTTCTTCCTTGTATTGTACAAGTGCTCTGTTGATTTCAGCTCCAACATGCCCATATTGTTTACAGAACTTAGGAGTAACCTTCAAAATGTGTAGCAGTATTTCTCATTCAGAATTGCATAGCTTAGAATATTCATAAATTCTAGTGATTGCAAATAAGAAATAGACCTACTTTATACTGAGAAAGACCAATTGTACTCACCTTGGCATGATGTGGATGTTGCATCATCCCAAGCAAATCATGATAAACTAGCACCTGCATTACAATTGATCTTACATTAATCCAACAAATTACTAGAATTTAATAGTTATCCACAAATTTTGTAGTAGAGTTTAGAGACTATTGCAATAACACCATTTTGCTTGAGCACGGTTATACATTTTTCATGGGACACACAAAATGGGACAAAGAAAGTAGGAAATTTAATACTTCAGATGACTCGAACATGCCTGCTGGAACTGGATGTCTGGATTACTGAATTCCATTCTTGAAGAGCCAACAGTTTTAAGAAGATCCAAACAAACTTCCCGATAGAACTTAAGGGCCTTTCCAGCAAACGGGGAAAGTTTTCCATTTTTTCTGGAAGAATAAAAAATAAAAAATAAAAATGGAAAATTGGAGTTTGTATTCACAAACTGTGTCATTCTCCAAAACTTAAAAATGGAAACCAATTTTCAAAAAGTCCAACTTTGTTAAAGAAGTCAGAAAACAACCCAAATTTGTTTTCCATTTGGAGAAAACATGGGTGTTTTGGCTATAGTACCTAGCTTCTTTTTTTCAGTTCCTAATTCCCCAACTTTCATTTTTCATTTAGACAGTATAAGTTAATCAAGTTAGAGAAAACTGGGGAAAAAAAAACGAAAATAAAAAAGAGATTTTTCATAACTAAACAGCAAACTTAAGGTAATGGACAAGAGGAAGCATTTGTTTCTCAGTTGCAACCTAAGAATTAGCTAATCAGAAACCACTTGATGCATTTATCGCATATAGTGCCATACATCTTAACTAATGCATAAAAATTCGAATCTTCATAAATCAAGCAAGGATCAAGGGCATTCAAATTACTACGAATAGAGATAAAGAATGAACAAGATATATATATACTAACCTGACCACTACAGAATGGTCCAGCCCCAATGCCAATGGTGGGAATCTTAAGAGCAGATGTTGTTGCAGCAGCCACAGGCGACGGCACACATTCCAAAACAACGGAGAAGCACCCTGCTTCCTGGAAAGCCAAGGCAGTTTCCAAAACCTGCAGAATTGAAAATAATATTTAAAATTTATGTATTTGTACAATGATTATATGTGACCATACTTCGGAGTTCATACCTTGACTGCACTACAGACATTTCTACCTTGAGGCCTAAATCCTCCAAGAACACTAATGGCCTGAGGGGTAAGTCCAACATGCCCCATCACAGCAATTCCCGATTCAACAATTGCTTTAGCTGCTGTAATTCTGGACGGTGCACCAGCTTCCAACTTAATAGCATCTATCGCTCCTTCCTTTAAAACCCTTACTGCTGTATCAACAGCCTGTTCATGATTGAATATCAGTATATTACCGCCAATTTCTGTTTTAAAAATGAATAAATAAGCAATTTTTTTGCATTAAAATGATGAATTCGCAAAAATTGTGAAAGTAACCTGTTCGGTACTGGACTCATAGCTACCAAAAGGGAGGTCGCAAACTAGAAAAGGGCATTTAGCTCCTTTGGCAACAGCTCGACAATGCACGAGCATCTCATCAAGAGTGATGGGCAGAGTGGTGTCGTGGCCATGAACCACCATAGCGGCAGAGTCACCTACTAGACATATATCAATCCCAGCAGTGTCGAGATGCACGGCAGAAGGGTAATCGTAGGCTGTGACCATGGTTATGGGCTCCCCCTTGCGGTGCTTCTGCCGGAGAGTGGCAAGGGTTGTTCTCCGGTTCGGGTCTTGGGGCTTGGGACCACCGTACACTGCATTCTCCGGCAGGTTGCTCATGCATCTTACACCACTTCTTGAGTGGCTGCCCAGAGATTTTCTTACAAGGCTTCTTGTTATTGAATTGAAAAATGCCATCCGAAATGGGTATCTGATCTCTTAGAATTTGATCGATGACAATATCCTATGAGGATATGAAGTGCAAGTTATGCAATGAAGTTGTTTGTTTAGATGTATTTGTAGATACAAAGTATGAAGAATGCTTTTAGTTTTATCACCATTCTATCCCAACAACAAACTATCCACGCCCAAAAACGGATGTTCTAATTAACTATCCAGTATGTATAACTTAAAATTTTTCATTTGTGATCCAATAATACCTTAAATGGGATAGGAGAGTGGAAAACCTTTACATCTAGTTATCTGAGGTTTCTTTTGGATTCTTCAGTTTAGAGAAGATAGATGAAAGTCTGACTAAGCAGCAGGGAAATATAGTTTTACTATCAGAATTAACTTCATATATAGCAGTCTTGTAGCTTGTTCATCAAAATTAACTCAACATTAAACATTTTAAACACATGCACAACCAACAATTCAACATTTCAACCTCAACAATTAAATTTATCAACTTAATTTTGAAATAATCAAGACATTACACATCAACAATAGACAACAGTACAACACAAAATTTTAAAATATATATACTATAAGCACATGTTTGGTTCACTGGAAAATGTTTTCCTTGAATTTCAGAAAAATTAGCTTTTCCTTTGTTTGGTTCGTAAAAAACATTTTTCATTAGAAATTATCTGTATAGTCATTATTTATTACAACTCTAAACCTAACAAAAGAATGAAATCAATATTAGTAATTTATTTTCCATCAATCAAACAATGTAATTAATCTTCTCGATAATTTCTTTTCCATAGAATTTCAATTCCATTCGGAAATATATTACCTTGAAGGATGAAGAAATGGAGACTGATTCAAGGATTCAAGCTGCCAGTTATGGCCGCCCAGTTCCGTCTCCGACTCTCACTGTGTCCCTAAAAGCGTCTGGGGGGGGGGGGGGGGGGGGTGAAGAGGATTCTGCCGTATGATGGCAAAATGAAGAAACCAGAAAAACTGGAAAGGATTCAGAAATCATGGTGGGGGAACATTCAAATGAATATTACCCCGTTTGTAGTCTTCTCTGGGTTATATTTGGAATGTACGAATGTACGGTGTACCAAAATTGGGAAAAAACTTTAAAATAGAATTATGATACAAATTTAGTATAAAAGACAAAAGCGCAAACACAACAACGATTTTCTAAATTTTTTAAAGAGTTAGTTATGACTATAATGAAATTATTATTTTAGTTCTTGACTATTTTATTACTTATTTAAGTCCCTTAATTTTTAAAATCTTAACTAATTTGATCATCCATTTGATTAGCCGTCAAACATCCGTTTACTCGAGACTAAATTGATAATTTTACTATAGTCAATGGACCATTTCAGTCATCACATGCACCATTTCTTCTCTTATTAAATTGCAGAGTTAATTACCAAAATGATCTTTGACTATAATGAAATTACCAATTTGGTTCCAAGTAAACGAACGTCTGACGACTAAACAAATGGAGGACCAAATTGGTTAAGATTTTTAAAGTTAAAAGACTTAATTAGACAAAAATAATAATCAATGACCAAATTGATAAGTTCGTTATAATCATGGGACCATTTTAATAATTAATTTTTTTTTTTAATTTACAGATACAAAATATGGACCCTTTATTTCGCTGGAAAATAATATAATGGACACAAAAAATGTGATTATTTGCGCATTTCTTGATGTGAAAACATAGAATAAATAATGAAAAAATAGAAAACTACAGTGATTGATCCTAATTTTCCCTACTAATGTCACTTTCTAATTAATTTTCATTTACATCATTATCTATCAACTTCAAAACAAAAATAGGTTATTCTCATTAAATACATGTGTGATGGACGAATTAGGTTTGGGTCCATATATAAAGTGATTGGAGATCAAGAGTAGAGAAAGAGTGTCAATCATTATAATATGGATTATGATTCACCTTACAAAATGGACTAATGATATAATATTTAATTTTTTAATATATTGAATGTTCATTTTTTGGTGTAATGCTTAAAAATGAACTTTCAATATATTTAAAAATAAACATTTACAAAGCGTTTAGTTGAAGAAATTTAAATTTCATTCTCACTTAATTCCCACATAATTTCAAATTAAAGGTCACTAAATTCCTTAGTTTGGTTGGAAGGAATTGCAATTCCCTCAAAATTCCCGCGTTAGGTAAAAATATCACTGCATTTGATATTCTAATTGACTAATTGATTGAAAATAAAAAAAGAATAATTGGCTGAAAATGAATCTGATATCACTAATTGACTGAAAATATAAAAGGATAACTAATTGAGTAATATTCTACTATTATATATTTTAACCCAAGTAACCCGTCCTGATGGATTGAAGGTGTTAGCTCTAGACGAAGATGAATAAAATTGTGTGTGTCACTGCCAATGTCGTCTACAAAGAGGTTTCAATAATGTGTAAATATAATCGGTGATATTAAGTTTTTTTTTAAATGAAAAAATTGTTATATATCTAGACAAAAATATATATCTTTCATACAAATGAATAAGGATACCAATTCATTTCTATAACTGAGTTGTTAGAGAACGAGCACATTTGCCTAATTTATGAAAATACTAAATAATGATAAATAAAATCTTCAAACTTATAACACCGTATGCGTACATCTAGACATTAGCTATTAATTTGAGCAATTATTTGCACAAATTCAAGCAATGATAACATCAAAATATATAAACGATCCAAACCATATCTTTAATTGCACTATATAATATTTGATGTTCTAATTTAAATAATTATATATCGATTCATATATTCTTAATATATTACAACAATGGATACACATTAATGGATATATGCTCACACACCCCCTCACGTGTACGGTGGATTCCAACCAATACATGGACCGGTAAACCGTAGTCGCTTACGAGTGGCGTTGAGATTCGAACTCATGACCTTTGGTCTGGCTCTGATACCAAATGAGAATTGAATTATCTGAACAGTTACAACCGAACGAGAATACGTCGCAAATAAAAGATAACTTGACGTGAAACTCTCCTATCTAATAGAGAGCTCAGGTAAATTAAATCTAAACCACACAAATAAAAAAATATAAAACTATATACTATAACATTTATTAACAATTCATTCCGTGCATCGCACGGGTGCAAATACTAGTTAAAGAGTAAAAGTAAAATGAGATAAATATAGTAGATTTGAAGAATTAAAATAGATACTCCAAAACAAGCATACAATGTGGGAAGGAGTGTTACCATATGATAATTCATACTCTAGGGATGAGGTTTCCAATTCCCATGTCTTCCATCTCCTCATCTAAATCTAAATAAATATAAAAGCATTAGCATATTGAACATTAAAAAAATCAATTAAATAACATGACATATTGTGATTAATTAATTATTAAATTAAAGAACATATGATAATTATTGCATGCTGAAATATTAATAAAAGATTATAGTAATTTTAAAACCTAACTTTGAGTTGGCCCAAAAGGACAACGACGACGCTGTAAACAATGGCAAATTATGTTGTGCATATATGGATGCAAAAACGACGTTGTTTTATTAAAAATGCGCGTCTCACTTAAAAAAAAAAAATCAGTTTTGATTTCCAGCAACAATATTATATTGTGCATTTTGAACTATATATCCAGAATCAATGAACTAAAATTCCAGAATCGATGAACTAAAATTCCAGAATCTATAAACTAAAATTTCAGAATGTATGAATTAAAATTTCAGAATGAATGAACTAAAAATTCATAATGAATGAACTAAATATCCAGCATGAATGAACTAAATATCCAGCATGAATGAAAAAAAAATCAGTTTCGATTCACGTCTAATATTCATAATCAATGAACTAAAATTCCAGAATCAATGAACTAAAATTCCAGAATCTATGAACTAAAATTCCAGAATAAATGAACAACATAATGCTGTTGAGGAGAATCGAAACTGAATATTTTTTTTTTAAAGTGGGATGTGCATTTTTAATAAAACGACGTCGTTTTTGCATCCGTATGCACCATGCACGGTGCATACGGATGCACAGCATAACGATCCGTAAACAATGTGCATTACGGCAAGGACGAAGATGAATATGTGCAATTGGTGCACCCCTGCGTAGGATATCAACGATGCCTTCCCCTGTATAATTCGCACCATTAATATTACCCATTACCATTTTTTTTTTTAACGTTGAAAACGCGCAATCACTATTAAGTATATTAACAAAAATCAAACATGTGACATTTTAGTACGAGACATTTATATTCAATAAAACCATACCTCTCAATCTAGAACTTTTAGTAAAAAGAAACATACAATATAATTTAATTAAACATAGAATCATATGAATTTCCACACTACACTATACAAGAACGACAACATTATATTTTTTAATGGTTTACTTGATTCAAAAAAAAAATATTTTTTATGAGATTTTTTAAAAAAAGAATGAGGAAAAATATATTTTACATTGTTTAGTTGATATATGGGAAATTTATTTAAATGAAAAATGAATTCATTGCTCTCCTTTAGTATTTTATTTTTTACACATTTAAAAAGAAAAAATGCAACATGAATTCCTATATTATTATCTCATATCTTTATAGCTCCAATGGAATCTGTTTTCACAGAGCTGTGCTGGTTTGTACTTACGGCATTACGTAATTAATACTAATGGAATTAAGTACTATTATTATTATTATATTGAAAGCCGGCCGACACAATATAACTATGCTAATTACAGATTGAGAATTGACAAATTAGCAAACGTAACAAAGTCTCATATAAATTCATTATTTAATTTGTCTGCATCAATTTATTTGTTGCCATTGCTTATGATGGCAAACTCTTCCTTTATAATATTATACTAGTATTTAAATGCGTGATGCATAAAAATAAGTGTCCAATATTAATGCTTCAACTAAGTAGATGTTATTTTTATGTTTGTTAGGTGTATTGTTTCAATATTGTTGCTCATAGGCTCGCTAAATCGCTGACATTTTCATTAGTGGGGGACAGTGGTCCAGAATTCTACCCCAATTTCTTTGTACTTCGATCTCTTTCAGTGTGATTTAAGATGGTTAGGCTTTTGTTTTCTTGATTTGAACCAATCAACTGGTTAGTTTGGTTCTTTGTGTTCTTTTGCTAGCTAGAATTGTAAAGTGAGATTTACTCAAACTTTCATCGTCATTCAAAAATTGTAATTATGATAAAATAATAAATAAATAAATAATACAAACTACATCATCTATAATTTTTTTGAGTACTATCTAGTTTAGTATCTGTTCAATCTTATAACCTTTTCTCAATGAGAGCCACCAAGGTGCTAATCGAACACAAGATGCTTGGCACATAATCTATATAATATTAAAATAATTAATTATTAACTTAGTTTTTTTTTTTGGTTTATATTAACAATATTTAATTTTATATATATATATATATATATATATATATATATATATATATATATATATTTGAGAGTTCATTTCAGGTGGTCTTTTTTTTACTATTTACCGTTATAAACTCCTCGGCTTTCAATTTAACTATAAATGGTCCTCTTATTTGCATGACTACATGTTGACATAGGCTTCTTATTCACATATTCCTTGTATTGGAGATATGTGCTTCAAAATTCATTATCTATTTTTCTCCAAAATACTTGTTCAATGTGCTCCACTTGTCAAATATATATGTCTTGATCGTGTTTTTTTTGTTGATGTCCTTTTTTATAAAAAGAAACTCATTGACTCCTGTTGAAAAAATAGCATTAAAATGACATTTTAAGTGGCTATTTTGTGGTACAATTATCATTGGGGTCCACTTCTAAAATGAGTCAGGTCAAAGTGGATTCGGGTTCTTCGTAGTGAGACGAAAAGATTGATATATTGTACGCTCAAAACGGATAATGGGTGAATGAGATATTGATTCTCAAAGTAAGCCCATTGAGTTGGAAAAATGAAGAGAAAAATGTGAGCTTTTGTCCCACATTGGTTTGGGAAGAAGATTTGCCCCACTATTTATACAAGAGTCTTTTGGAGACTTATTGAATGTATAGAATGGAGGTTCTTTCTTGCGTGCAGGGGGTGTGCAAATCAAATTCCAAAATGAGGCTATTTTAGACAAATAATTATAGATAGAAGACATTAGTTTTTTGTGTATGCATATGCTTCCCTTAATAAAACCAACTCTTTATTCAAATATTTTTGACAAATAATTATAAATAGAAGACATTAGCATATTCCGATCATTTTGGTGGTGTTTGAATCTTCTCGATCAGCTGCAATAGCAGCTGCAGATGCTGCATCGTCAAAATCCAACTTCTGTAGTTCGTGAAGGAAACCATCCATGTCAGCAGCACTAATTTTATATGGACTATAAGTGGCACCCGGGAAAGAACCATTTGTCACTTCTTCCTTGTACTGTACAAGTGCTCTGTTGATTTCAGCTCCAACATGCCCGTATTGTTTACAAAATTTAGTAGTAACCTTCAAAATGTGTAGCAGTATTTTTCATTTAGAATTGCATAACTTAGAATATTCATAAATTCTAGGGATCGCAAATAAGAAAATTACTTTATACAGAGAAAGACTAATTGTACTCACCTTGGCATGATGTGGATGTTGCATCATCCCAAGCAAATCATGATAAACTAACGCCTGCATTGCAACTGATCTTACATTAATCCAACAAATTACCAAAATTTAATAGTTATCCACAAATTTTGTAGTAGAGTTTAGAGACTATTACAATAATACCATTTTGCTTGAACACGATTATACATTTTTCATGGGACACACAAAATGGGACAAAGAAAGTAGGAAATTTAATACTTCAAATGACTCGAACATGCCTGCTGGAACTGGATGTCTGGATTACTGAATTCCATTCTTGAAGAGCCAATAGTTTTAAGAAGATCCAAACAAACTTTCCCATAGAACTTAAAGGCCTTTTCAGTAAACGGAAAGTAAAATGGAAAATTGGAGTTTGTATTCACAAACTGTGTCATTCTCCAAAACTTAAAAATGGAAACCAATTTTCAAAAAGTCCAACTTTGTTAACGAAGTCAGAAAACAACCCAAATTTGTTTTCCATTTGGAGAAAACAAGGGTGAACAATGGATTTTTAACTATTCACTCGTGTTTTGGCTATAGTACCTAGCTTCTTTTTCATTTAGACAGTATAAGTTAATCAAGTTAGAGAAAAAGTGGGGGAAAAAAACAAAAATAGAAAAGAGATTTTTCATAACTAAACAACAAACTTAAGGTAGTGAACAAGAGGAAGCATTTGTTTGTCAGTTGCAAACTAAGAATTAGCTAATCACAAATCACTTGATGCATTTATATACATCTTAACTAATGCATAAAAATTGGAATCTTCATAAATCAAGCAATCCAAGGATGAAGGGCATTCAAATTAGTAGAAATAGAGATAAAGAATGAACAAGATATATACTAACCTGACCACTACAGAACGGTCCAGCCCCAACACCAATGGTGGGAATCTTAAGAGCAGATGTTATTGCAGCAGCCACAGGTGACGGCACACATTCCAAAACAACGGAGAAGCACCCTGCTTCCTGGAAAGCCAAGGCAGTTTCCAAAACCTGCAGAATTGAAAATAATATTTAAAATTTGGGTTGTACAATGATTATATGTGGCCATACTTCGGAGAATTCAGATTGCACATTAATGGCTATATGCTCACACATACCAAATTAAAGCATGTGCTCCATCTCAACTAAAAGCTTAAGCTTATAGTTAGATTGCACATTAATGGCTATATACTCACACGGAGTTCATACCTTGACTGCACTACACACATTTCTACCTTGAGGCCTAAATCCTCCAAGAACACTAATGGCCTGAGGGGTAAGTCCAACGTGCCCCATCACAGCAATTCCAGATTCTACGATTGCTTTAGCTGCTGTAATTCTGGATGGTGCACCAGCTTCCAACTTAATAGCATCCATCGCTCCTTCCTTTAAAACCCTTACTGCTGTATCAACAGCCTGTTCATGATTAATATAAATCAGTATATTACCGCCATAATAAATAAGCAATTTTTTTGCATTAAAATGATGAATTCACAAAAATTGTGAAAGTAATTACCTGTGTGGTACTGGACTCATAGGTACCAAAAGGGAGGTCACAAACTAGAAAAGGGCATTTAGCTCCTTTGGCAACGGCTCGACAATGCACGAGCATCTCATCAAGAGTGATGGGCAGAGTGGTGTCGTGGCCATGAACCACCATAGCGGCAGAGTCACCGACTAGACATATATCAATCCCAGCGGTGTCGAGATGCACAGCAGAAGGGTAATCATAGGCTGTGACCATGGTTATGGCTTCCCCCTTGCGGTGCTTCTGGCGGAGAGTGGCAAGGGTTGTTCTCCGGTTCGGGTCTTGTGGCTTGGGACCATGGTACACTGCATTCTCCGGCAGGTTGCTCATGCATCTTACACCACTTCTTGCATGGCTGCTCAGTGATTTTCTTACAAGGCTTCTTGTTATTGAATTGAAAAATGCCATCCGAAATGGGTATCTGATCTTTTAGAATTTGATGACAATATCCTATGAGGATATGAAGTGCAAGTTATGCAATGAAGTTGTTTGTTCAGATGTATATGTAGATACAAAGTATGAAGAATATAATGCTTTTAGTTTTATCACCATTCTATCCCAACAACAAACTATCCATGTCCAAAAACGGATGCTCTAATTAAATATCCGGCCAGTATGTATAACTTAAAATTTTTCATTTCTGACGCTATTTAACATGTATGGAGCTGTCTATTGCTTCTTAGGGATAACGTTCATCTTACTACTAAATTAAGGAACCCTTCTCAAGGCTTGAGTTTAGTTGCAAGAAGTTCAATCTTGATAACACCCATGAAGTATATGAACAGCAAAGTTGAATCATTGGAAGTTTGATATTAGTGCCAGTTTGCTATGAAATTTCCTATCCTTTTTTAGGCTCTTTTTTTTTTTTTTTCTTTTTTTTTTTGCATTTTTGTGGAAGCTCATGCTTTTCAGCTTATCCAATACTAATTGTAGTACTAAGAAAATTAAAACTAATTTTGAAATCAACAAATACATTAATGTCATGTTTGGTTCATGAAATAGGTCAGGAATGGAATAACATTCCTTAGAATAGACCTATTCCATCGTTTGGTTGGATCATTTTGTCATGAGAATAACATGTCTAAGAATGAGCTATTAACTTCGCAAGGAGAATAGTCATTCCTAGTGGGCCTTGGTATTAACTATTCCCATGCCATTGGAAATAACTTTTATATCATAAAATACCAAAAATACCCTTGGCACATTATATAATATTTATATTTATTTAATAAATATAATGTATTATATAAATGTATTTATTTAATTAATTATAATTTTTATCCATCAATCTATCAATAAATAAATAAATATATATATATATATATATATATATATATATATATATATATATATATATAAATTATTTATGTATATATACACACACACATTTTGCAGCGTTTGCAATTTGACATTTTGAAAAAAAAAAGTATTTTTTCAAAACACCCTTGACAGGTTTATTATTATTATAATATATATATATATATATATATATATATATATATATATATATGTAAATAAAAAAAATTAACTGTATAAGACTCCTTAATTATGGAGCTTTGCTCCTAAATTAAGTAGCCTGCCCATCTGCATGCCTAGCGGATGTGCATTGCAAGCTTGCCTAGCGGATGAGCATTGCAATTGAAATTATGGAGCCTTGATGCTCCTTTTATAGGAGCCTCAAGGCTCCATTCCTTACTTCTCCAACCGATGTGGGATAAGTGGAAAAATAAATATAAATATGTATTTGTATAATAATAATAATAATATAATAATAATAATAATATTCATTATTATTATTATTATTATTATTATTATTATTATTATTATTATTATTATTATTATTATTATTATTATTATTATTTTGTATAAGGGTATTTATGTTTTTAAAACCTATTCCATTTCTATTCATTTAACCTACCAAACACTGGAATACAATTACTAAAGTCTATTCCTTCAGGCAACCAAACAACATAATACAATTCCTATTTTATTCCTTACCTATTTCATTTCCTGTGGAATAGTATTTCTATTCCCGCTAAATTCATTCCGTGAACCAAACGTGCTGTAATTGGCATAGGACAATCAGGACATAATAAGAATGAATGCCACCACACCTTGAGATGATTCCAATAGCATCAATACTTATAAGGCCGTTCCAAAACTGAATAAGGTATTTTATCAAGCACATTGATGACAACTAATAATTCTAGGAAAAATACAAAAAGAGATGTATTTATAAGAACATTAAACATTTTTAACACAAATAAAATGCACAACCAACAATTCAACAATTAAATTTATCAACTTAATTTTGAAATAATCAAGACATTACACATCAACGATAGACAACAGTACAACACAAACCTTGAAGGATATGATGAAGAAATGAAGACTGATTCAAGGACTCAGCAGCAGCGAAAAGCCAAGGAAGAATTGGAAGGGATATTGGTTCATTGGATGGTATATATAAACAAAATCCACCTTCTAGCATTTTCCCACTCAAATTCATTATATTAATTATGGTAATAGAAATCATTGAATAATATGGCAAAATATTACATAAAGTAGCATAATATAGAATAATTATAATACACAAAATTATGATCATTATATATTTACTCCAATTACTCCAATAATAAGTAGTTAGCATATATACGGGTATTACTGTGTATATAAAATATAGGTATTATCGAGTATATTAATCTACATTTCACATATCACATTTTCATCATTTAAGAACGTAACACACCAATAGCTCTTCAGTTCTACCAGTACAAATTCGTCCATTAATTTTAAATATAGTCATTACAATACTCATGCACGTATTACAATACTCATTATTGTGTACAAAATTAATTTTAAATATAGTTAAAATTTAATTAATCCATCAAAATTACTTTTTTAATTATTATAATATGTTATAATTATTATATATATTTTAGTAAAACCTAACATGACTTCTCAAATATAAGTATTTCATAACCAAAAATTATATATCTTATAATTATATTTTATAATTATTATATATCTTTCAATTCTAATTTATTAAAGTTTATTTTTTTAAAATTAACGTGTATTCCGTATATGGTATTTTGTAAGATATATATAACCAAACATTAATTAACATTACACGGAATATTATGAATATAGACTAATTAATGAATTAGGTTTTAAAATTTACCTTTTTTGAATTAACGTGTATTCCATATATGGTATTTTGTAATATATATATATATATATATATATATATATATATATATATATATATATATATATATATATATATATATATATTACAAAATACCATATATGGAATACACGTTAATTCAAAAAAGGTAAATTTTAAAACCTAATTCATTAATTAGTCTATATTCATAATATATATATATATATATATATATATATATATATATATATATATATATATATATATATATATATATATATATATATATAATCAAAAATTAATTAATATTATATTACACGGAATATTATGAATATTAACTAATTAATGAATTAGGTATTAATATTTACCTTTTTTGAATTAACGTATATTCCTTATATGGTATTATTTAATTATATAATTATGTAATATATATAAAACCAACAAATAATTAATATTACACGAAATATATGGAAATGAGTAAAACCAAATAATTGCACAAAATGAGTTAATTGATTATGGAAATATTTTATGGAGATATATTCTGAATTGACTCATTTATGGTAATAATTAATAATTAATTATGATAATAGAAATTGTAGAATAATATGGCAGAATATCTAAAAACATAATAAGTGTCAATACAAGTTATGTCCTTGATTTTTGTCTATTTTCTATATGCTAATAAATATATACATTTTGCTTTAATTGTTGTACATTCATTTGCATTTGACAAAATCACCCTTACACCGTTATAACACCGTTAGTTTTTAATATATCTACCAATCTTACCATACACCTACATCTATCATATCTTTTTCCTATTTTTAATTATCATTTTATTAAAATTATCATATAACAATTAATTTAATTATAAATTATATTTTAATTAAATATTTATATGAATGCTAAATTATATATATATATATATATATATATATATATATATATATATATATATATATATATATATATATATATATATATATATATATATATATATAATGTATGTATATTATTTGTGTATCCATATCAATATATCATATATGTGAGTGTTAGCTTAGTATTTTTTGTAAATTATTATTATATAAAAATATAATTTATTTATTTTTGTTTTGATCACTATATTATTCAAATATATGATAATTCAAAAGTATCATCACTTTAAGAAATTGCAAAACATAATTTTAACTAATTTTTTAAATTTTGTTATTTACAAATATTTTAATATTGGGCATAAGTTTTAGCGCATCGCGCGTACAAAATGCTAGTATAATAAATAATTAAAGAAATAATATTATGGTCATATTTCATGGACTTTTTATTCTGAATTGACTCATTTATTATGCATAATATGGTACAAAAATATTAACTTATTATGCACAATCTATTTATACTATTATTAAAAACAAAATTCTCCTTTGTGTTTTTCCGCCCAAACTCTTCCACCCAATCAATTAATAATTATTAATTAATTAATAGTAATAACAATAATGATAATAATAATAATAAATGAAAAAATACAAAAGATAATTTACTTATAATGTTAGAAGTAAAAAATGAAAAATGAAAAAGGATCTCTAATTCACTTAATAATAATAATAATAACAAGGTTTGCATCATTAATGCAAAATGGAATTGGATATGTAAGTCAATAATAATAATAATAATAATAATAATAATAATAATAATAATAATAATAATAATAATGATGATGATGATAATGACGATAATAATGATGATGATGTTGTTAGTATTAGAAAAAAAATTTAAAAGAACCAAAAATTCAATAATAATAATAATAATAATAATAATAATAATAATAATAATAATCTATCTATATCTATACTATTATTAAAATAAAATCATTCTTTGTATTTTCTCGCCCAGACTCTTTCACCAAAAAATTAATAATTAATAATTAATTAATTAAAATTAATAATAATAATAATAATAAGGTTAGCATTAGAAAAAAAATTAAAAGGACCTAGAATAATAATAATAATAATAATAATAATAATAATAATAATAATAATAATAATAATCTATACAATTATTAAAAATAGAATTTTCATTTATGTTTTCCCACCCAAACTCTTCCACCCTAACAATTAATAATTAATAATTAATTAATTAATCAAAAATTAATAATATTATTATTATTAAATTTAGTATTAATATTAATATTAATAAATAAAAAAATACAAAAAGATCTATAATTTACTAATAATGTTAGGAGTAAAAAAGAAAAAAATGGAAAAGGATCCCTAATTCACTTATTTACTTAATAATAATAATAATAATAATAATAATAATAATAATAATAATAA